GAAAATGCACCATGTGGAGTAATTTCGAATAAGTTGCACCAAAATATGTATATGATATACATATACTTGCTAATGATTGACATTTAATTCAATGAATTCATTAAAATTAGCTCCGGGCTGTCATGTAACTTGCTGTGATGTTTAACTAAAATCATGTCGCAGAAATCGTGAATATATTTCTGTATAAACTATATCAATGAAGACAAAGGATATACATGTACGTGGAGCCAAGATGGATGAATTCAGGTTTGAAAAATGCCTTTGATTGTTGCCTAGAAATATAAACTTATAAAAGTGTTCTATTGTTTAGGTACATATATTGAATGACCTATCTCAAAATTTCGAGAATAACACGCAAAGGCAAAAGGTCAGCTGATGTTTCTGTATTTTTCTTATAAATGGTTTAAATTTAAAATGAGGTAATAGGACAAAGTTATTGTTAAAAGTTAACCCTTTAAGTCACTTCCCCCACAGGGGTTTCGTTACAAAATACACATACCGTTTTGATACTGATATAGGTCACGGTCTTCATAAACATACATGTGCTGTGACCTATATCAGTATAGTATATGTACATGTTTATTAGACATTTGTAACGAACCCCTGTGCTTCTAGCGTGCTGTGTATGCCCTCGAAATATAGCTAGCTGCCTATATCCAAAGACGTCTTTTATCACCTCCGAAATATATTACGCTCATTATCAGTAAATTCTTTCATTAATAAGTCTAAATCTAAATAACTTTCACGGGATAAAAAGCCAGTCATATTTGACAATGATTTACGCCGACAGAACACTGACTTCCGTCAGTGAGATGAAACCCGTAAGGGCGGATTCATGTAGGCGCGAAACCCGTCATCCATCCATCCATGACAATGATTTATCATCCGATCAGATACTTACCTGATGCTGCTTGACATGAACAGATATACTTGCGACATCATCACGTGTATGCATTCGTTTTCTATTGTTTTAGTCATGGTTGTTACACTGTGTACTGATCTGTCAAATCAGTGTCACATTCTCGGTCTCTCATCACCTAGGTAAACAACATGGTTATCGATACCGGAAACTTGTCTGTTAGGTCACACGCAAGCGCAGTACAGGTAAATTGGCTCCAGCGAGAGGGTTACAAGTCGTCACGGTTCGGTGCACAAATACAAGAGGTGGACAATACATACGCTAGACGAGAGCCCGAGTTATAAACTTTTCCGAACGAAACTCTAGTGTTCCGAAGAGCCATTGGGAATTTCAAACGACCATTGGTTTTTGTTGGC